TGTATCTGACTTGATTCCCACCCTTGTCAACCGGCTATGGCAATATCTTTCGCCACTGAACCCTAAGTTTCATGTCGAGGCAGTTCGCTCATTGTGGCATTTGCATTCTGTTTCATGGACCGATCATCTGGTCGAGGCTGCGATCACTTCTCTGATGGTGGACAAGTCGAACGGGCATCGTCAATCATCGTCGGCAGAACAAGCAGGGAGGTACTTTGTTCTCTGGTCTCACAGTCACCACGGTACATACGAGCTCCCTCCGAAGCAGTTGCATAATGTGTCACAGCTGGGAATCTTTTACCAGTCATCGATGCTCGAACGCCCTCTCTTTATCGTTTTGGACTTGCTCAATCAGGGCGTAAATGAAGCCTCTCAGGTCGTACACCGCTGGCTTGAAGACCTGTCTTCCATACATAAGTACGTTTGCACCCCACTTCCAGTCTCTCCCATATTACTTTACTGTTTGACATTGGTTTGAAAACTCTGCTTTGAACAAGTGCTTATGCTCTATAGAGTTTTCCGCATGGTAGTTTCGAGGCTTGATCGTCTATTCCAGCAGTCAGAGAACGCAGAGCCAGACACTGCGAATCCCACTGTATCTCCAGACGACTACAGAGAGTGCAGCTATCTACTACAGACAATATCCAATGTCATATCAACGCTTTCACATAATGGATGGATCAGCTTGCTCACCCAGACGTTGGTACAAACAGAGAAGCACAAGGATACTCCAACATCTGAAGGTCGGTTCTAACAAGCATTCCTGTGACCAAGTTTCTGATGATAGTTGCAGATAACTCTGGAGCCCAGAGCCTACATGCGGTCATTTTCCAGGCCTCTCTCAGAGTGGTTAGCGGACATACGACGGCTGCTCATCAGGGCGTGGATGAGATCAAACTGCAACAAACTGCGCTGCTTGTGATGCGTCAACTTCTTCTTGGCCCCGGGGCCGAGGAGGTGGCCGAATCTGGAATTGACTCCTTCCTTGTCGATAGGCTGTCCAGCGTGCTCGATAACGGTGGTAGTGTCGGTATTCAAGCAGCACTTATCGACACTCTTCTCGCAGCGCTGAAGGTTCGATTTGCTCAAGCGTACCTGCCACCACCCCCACCACGCCCAAAGCATCAAAGGACTGCCTCTCGAGAGCGTCTAACAAGTCCTTCTATCTTATCCTTCACAAGCGACAAACCTGATAAGTCTCTTGCATTGCCACCTCTACCCCAGCCCCCTCAGCAACTATTGGAGTGCCTTCTAAAAGGCATAAGCTCTCCAAACTCCAGGGAGATAGTGGAGAGGTGGACAATACTGCTTTGCGAAGTACTTCCGCTTTATGCAGGATCCATCTTCCAGATAATCCTGATGTTAGTGGAATGCTTTTGTAAGGAAATCCAATTGGCATATGCAAGTCTTCAGCTATCTTTCAAGCGCACCGAGGGTTGGCCCGAAGATCGCTCTGAACACGCTACGATCGCTCTACTCACCGGTCTCGAGACTTGCATCGCAACTGCCCACGAGCGTCTGCTGTCAGAAGAAGCAAATGTACCTACTGCCAAGAGCCCGGACCAGAATCATGGGTTCTTTGGAAACATGGTCTCAGGAGTCTTCGCGTCTGAACAGAGTCATGCTCGGTCCAGCGCGGCCAATAACCGCCTCACCGTTTTGCTTTGCTTCCAGGACGCTGTGCGACTTTGTTTTTCGATATGGTCGTGGGGCGCGGTAGAACGAAGCACACTCCCTCAAGACCCGGAGTCGTTGGCATCTTTTCAATATACATCCTTGCGCATGAGGAATAGATCGCGTCGGATATTGGAACACTTGTTCACGGCCGAGGCACTTGAATGTCTTGAAACTGCGGTAGAGGTATGGACGAAGTCAGACAGCGACACTTCGTCTTTGATCATCAGTTTGCTCCACACGCTGGATGGATCTCGTCCAAAGATCACAATACCAGCTGTATTCAACTCTATCTACACGCGAACCAACCCCGCCGCATTGGAACCCAACCGCAAGTCCACCTTGACCGCAAGCCTTACGGAGTCTGAGCTAGCAGGTTTCCTAGTGACCTACGCCAGGTCACTTGACGATGATGTTTTGGATGAGATTTGGGCAGATTGCACCACCTTCTTACGAGATGTTTTGAGCAATCCTTTTCCGCATAGGCAGATCCTTCCGCGATTAGTGGAATTCGCAGCGATCCTTGGGGCGAAGTTGGAGAATACGAGCTTCGGAGAAGATCGACGGATGAGGAAGGAGTTAGGAGTATGTTTCATCTAATTTTGACTTTGACGTGGCTATGCTGACAACCTTAGGATGTACTCCTCCGTCTCCTGACGGCAATATTCACCAGCAAACCCATGGGTCTCTCCCAAGAGTCAGCACTTCTCGGCCGGGCGTCTATTGACTATGACAGTGGATCGCTGCCACATGTTGGGCCTGATGACCTGCTCAGCATTCTTGCTGCCTCTATGCCCGCATTTACAACAACCTTGGGCGATTCGGATCGTATTACTACCGCGGTGTCTGGGATATCTACTCATATCATCGGGCCGCTCTTTCGCGCACGCCTCTTTCCGAATAACGTTAGTCGGAATTTTATGGCGCTCCTCCAGCACATAGCAAAAATCCCCGCTGCTTCCAAGATTTGGAAGAAGGATATCTCTGATGCCTTCAACGACCCGAAATTCTTCGGAATGCAGCTTGATTTGGTGAAAGACGGCTGGGTAAACCTTTTGCGGCAATGGGTGCTCGCCGACAAAGATCGAATGTCTGAGTTGATGTCCCGACTCACTCCGCCAAGTACTGCAGGCATCATGTTTGGCGTTGGAGCTTCTGCTGCCCGTCTAGAAGCGGATCGAAAGGCGCAATTGAATCTCCGCAGGATAAGCCTCCTCATCCTGTCAGCCAACACTGACTACTTTGTTGCAGAGCTACCTGCACTCCTTCAGAAGTTGGAAGATCTCTTGGGCGCGACTAGTTCCTCGTCCCCATCTTCTACGACCAGGTCCGAGGTTTTCATGGTTTTGCGCGCCCTTGCCCTTAAGTGCACAGCCACTACTCTGGCCCCCTTTTGGCCGTTGATGAATTCTGAGCTCCAGGAGGCCATCTCAGCGGTCTCAGTAGGCCAGCAGCAGGAGGTGTACAACCCGTATGCGCTGCTACAAGCGTGTAAGCTGCTGGATACTTTGCTCATCCTCGCGCCTGATGACTTTCAACTTCTCGAATGGCTTTATGTGACCGACACCATAGATGCGGTCTACCCTCCGGAGCGCTTTGAACCCATGGCACTCGCGGACGAAATCTCGCAGAGCTTGGGAGCGCGCGGATCGGCCTCGTCGGATGGACTCGGGGAGACGGCCGATCTCAGCCAGGGTGTGAAACAGCCAAGCCTGACTGCTGACTGGATTCGCGAAACGGCAAAGGATGAGATTGTTGAGCGAGTCCTTCGGCCGTTCTTTGATCAGCTCAGCATCCATGCATTCGAGAGCACGTATAGCATGGGCCATCCGCGGTTGGACGTCTGCCGAGACGACCTGTTAGCGGATTTGTTCAACGAAAGTACGATGGCCAACTAACAGCGTCATTCATTTATTTCCAGTTCCTGTTACCTAGCGAGCCTCTCTTGTATTATACCCAATGCCTGTATGCCAGACTCCGCGCTGTCCGTAACAACCGAGGTCTACGATCTCTGCCTTACTATAGTAGATAAAAACTGTCTTTTCCAGTATTTGCCATTGGACGCAAAATGGTATGTATCAAGCAGGTCGTATCCATGGAACAATCCAGTAGCATCTCCGCACGTAGCCCAGCCACTAATAGTACTTGTGATCCATCGTAGGCGGCAAATACAATAACCAGCAGCATAGTTGGGGTGAAGGAGATCGGAAAACGCGCCGTGGATAATTGGGCCGGCAGCAGCCGCAGTCTCCGCCCAAAACAGCACCGCCAACGTCACTCATCCCAAGCTCTCCCCGGCGCCCCCAACTTCATCTCCTTTCAAACGTGAGAAGAAACCTGATGATTTTGCCTAGCAATGCTCTGTGCTGATCGCAACTGCAGATCATCAAATAATTTATGACCATGAACGCGTGCAAGAGAATGTTGCCTGGCCTGCGCTCCGTCGCAACCAAGTCGGCATTTGTCCCGGCGCGGAGCTTTTCGGTCTCTCCCTTCATGAAGGAAGCGGCGCACACTCTGCCTACGAAGAAGCCCGTGGGCGCGTTTCGCGGGGGGTTGGTTTATCCTGGACTGCGCTTCTACCCAAGGTTTATAAGCTTACTGATCATGAACTAGTCTGTTCGGATTCCTTACTGGCGCGATTGCTGCCAGCGCCGGAGTCTACTTCTATGTCCTGGGCGAGTACAGGATTGCGAACGAGATGCTGACAGAAGATATCATCGTACGTATATGATTATCCCCCCAGATAGTCCTATAAGAGCTACTAATAAGGTAATCAGGCTCTTCAAGGAGCTACACAAAAGCTGCAGACGTACATTGGTGAACTAGAAAGGAAGGTGGACCAGCTGCAGAAGAAGAAATAGGCTTGAACATTCTCATTAATGCTGAACTTATTACCCCGTTCATTCAATCCTTTTTTTTGTTTACTCTGCGACAAACGTATTCCCTTTTGCTGTTCTATCGCGCAATTTCATCTTCGGTTCTTAGCATCAATCATGTTGTTTAGTTGCAATTGCAGGGTCTGGCACGGATGAGCGCCAGGAGTAAAACAGCGATGGAGGATCGTGTAATGAAACCAGCAGCCCTGCATACAAACAGTGTCTATCTATATGTACACTAATACCAGCCATGTATGTCTTCTTCAAACATCTAGTAGTATATCAACCAGTTGGCGGCGAGTCGCTGGCGTCATCGAGCCAAAGCTCCCTGCAAACAAGACAAACTCCGGCACGGGATCATCTCCGGTCTCTCGAACCATCCATCCATTTTCGCGGAGATTCAAATCCATCCCATCCAAGTCCATCATCGCCTCTAAACACCCTGAACCGAACAATGCCCTCCATTTTCTCCTAATCATGTATCACGTCGAACTCCTCCCCAACAGCACAACCACCCACGCCACTCCCGGGTGGACCTACGTTCCCGATCGCGGTTTCGACCCAGCCAAAGCCGCCATCACGCCCGCCATCGGCCGCAAACGCGGAATCCGCGATCCAGGCCGAGCGGACCTCTCCTCACGACAGAACAATGCCATCGTTCGACATCTCGCGGAGCTGGATCGCGAGAATCATCGCGACGTGCAGATCTCAATTCCAGTAAAACAGAAGGATGCGTCTGGTCGAGGTATGCCATACACACACACATACACACATCCTACATTCACGAAACACTCACATGCTAACCTACAACCCCCAGGCACAAGAGGCAAAGTTACCTCCAACGTCCGCCGAATCCTCCAATCCCAAAAGACCTTCCGCAACTACCTCGACGACGAAGAAGCCGCTCTAGCGCAGCAAGCATCCACCCAGCAAACCCAACAACAAACCTCCTCCTCCACCTCCTCCTCGCACCGCCCCTCCATCAACAAAATCACCAAACCGGGCTCTTCCTCTCGTCGCAGCTCAACGCCCCTAACAGCAGTACCAACACCTAAGCCCGATACCTCCTCGCGCAGTAATCGCAAAGCACAACAACGCCCCTCCTCCACCGCCCCGACCTCCTCCCGCGCCTCAACAGTAACCACCGCCGCCGAAACAGAAACAGAAACACCAGCACCCGACAAAGACCAACCCCAAGATAAAGACAACACCGAAGAAAAGGTGGAGAAGGAGGGGGAGGTGCAGCAAAACCCCCATGAACTGATCAAATCCGAACACGACAACGACCCCCTTTTGAAATCATATATTCCCTCCGCGCCCTCGGAACGTATCATGCAGGCTTTGCTCGCAGAACCGCCGTTGACGTATCATGCATCGCGCGCTGGCCCGCCGATCGCGAGGAAGTCGCCGCGGTATTTCTGCTGTATGTGTGGGTATTGGGGGAAGATTCGGTGCAAGAATTGTCATTTGAGGACTTGTGGGTTAGGGTGTTATAAGGTGCATGAGGATTCGAGGTGCGGGGCGTTTTTCTAGTCGGGGTGAGGGGAGATAGTTTTGGGGGGAATAAGATGACTAGGGGGTAAGAAGGTGGCAGTGTTCAGACAGTACTGCACTATCAGCCTTTGAGTCTATACTCAGGACACCACTACTGTATCTTCTGGTGGAACGCTATCGAGCCACTCCCCAGGACATGGTGCATATCCCTACTAGTGGAAGCCCGCGCTGATGCGGGCTATATGAACATTTTGATACCCTATTAGATGCAACTAATTATGCTATTCCAAATCTAGCAATGCGTCTAAGCAACTGCTGTATAATATTCACAGATAGAATCAATATTTCAAGTCAATACCAGCCCGTGCTTCCTCTTCACGGATCTCAAACATAACCTGCACTCCCACAAACAAAGCACAGCACGCTGAGATGAGGTAGATGATGCCGGCCCAGGATCCCAATATACCAGCCAAAAGGCCCTCCAATCCATCCAACCCTAAAGCGAATCCGACCAGGTTTGCGATCATCATCATTAGAACGTTGCCGACTGCTCCAACTCCACAAAGGACACGGTACGTTGTCGGGCGCGAACGCCATTTGCTGGCTGGGAACAGTAGTCTGCCGATGACTTCGGGCAGAACGAAGAGGGTTATAAGCCAGCCCCACATGAGGAGACGAGGGTTGATGTCATGCCAGAGAGCAACAAAGGTGAAGACAATAAGCGTGTTGAAGATCTGGCGGGCCTTGGCGTAGATCCCGGAAGATTTGCCGCGGTCGGCACTTCCTCTGCTGCCTCCACCTAGGGGCACGTAGAGATAGCGCACAATCCAACGATTGAAGGAGCGATGCCATGCACGCCAGAAGGAGGAGGGAGAGTAGTTGTTCGACACACAGCGTATCATGTTTTCGGTCGGGTCAATTCCGTCGACCAATGCCCAGAAACGGAAGAACCGCCATGGAATCAGAAGTTTAAGCCAGATGATGTGCAGATTGAAATATGCCAACATGCTGAGTTCGCCAGCTGTGTACAGGGACCAGTCGGGAGACGCCTTCGAGATAGCCACGGCGTAGATGAAATGAAGTATGAGCTCCATGGCGAGTAGTGTCAGGAAGAAACGGACACCGTAGAGTACTGTCCGGGTCCGCGTAAGAGATGGAGGTGCGTATCTTTGCTGGGAGATGTAGTCGTTGAAGGTCAAAATAGGGCCTGTCAAGTACAGCGGAGCGTAGAGAACATAGGCAAGGTAATAGCGCCCATTGAACGCAGCTGGCTCCGCGGGGATACTGACACGGTCACGCTCTGACAGTGCTGCAGGATCGACTTGTTTCTTCTTATCTCTGTCAGCTTGGGTCCCGTACCGCAGGGGAAATGGACTTACTTCAATGGGACTGGCAGCGGGGTAGTCGAGGCTCCAATAGTAATCCATGTTGAAACTAATCAATCGAAGGATCGTAATGTTGAAGAGAATCTCCCATCGGGGCATGATGCCACCAAATCCGTCAAGGTAGCGACCCCAAAGTACCAAGGGTGCCCCCTTGTCTGCACCACTCGGGGCCACGAACAAAGAAGCCACCCATTCCAAATGGTAGCCGGAACAGAGTTCGTTCGCAAGCAGCGTTCCGATATTAAACAACCAAGTTGCCGCAGGGATGTACTTCCTGGGGAGACTCTTGGAGATTTTGTAGTTCACATATAGAATTGCGAGGACCTTCAGCGCAGAAACACCGTGAAGGGCTGTGATGAAGACAAGCGCGAAATAGAAGTCGAAGCTGATCCGCTGAGTGAGACGAGCATCCGCAGCAAGGACTGTCGGAGAAGCCTTAGAGGGCCCGGTATCTCCGGCGACTGGGCGTACATAGCTGTTGTATAGACGGCGAAGCAATGGGTGACCGACTAATAGCAGCAACAGGTAGGGTATGTTATCGCGGAACGAGGAATACTGGTCATCGGAGTTGTCCTACCAAAACCAAGAAGTCAGCGTCTGACATTGCATAATTACATGAGTTACTTACAACTTGACGTCCGGGTATCCAGCCAGGCGACAGCAGATGAGCGTAAGTCGGATATGAAGGGTGGCTCTCTACATAATCAAGTCAGCATAGCTGCTCCTCTTGCAGCAGAAAAGTGGTTCAGGCTTACTCTGCGATACCCCAATGGCCGTGATAAACATCAACGGCACAGCGATCAAGAAGATCACATAGTAGATGTAGAACTCAAAAGTTCGCCATTTCGGAGGAGGAGCATTGCGCGCAATCGCAATGGCACGGGCATCTCTGGCGGAGGGAGCTCGCGTGTGACCCGCGGCAGCTTTGGGCGGAGTAGTAGAAGAGGTAGTAAGGCGGGTATCTAGAGTATCAAGGGAGTATAATCTCCGAAGCCACGAGAGTACTGAAAGAGGCATCTTAGCACTAGCATTGCGTAGTGCAACCCCTCAAAGACAAAGGAAGAGGGGAGACACCGTAAGGACTGAGTGCGGAGAGCAACAGGGACGGATGTTGGGGGAGATCATCGCGGATTCCATTTTTGGCTCAGGGGCGGATCTCCGCTGGGGTCACGGGCTGCTGGTTATGCCGCTGTCAGCACTGCATACCAGAACAGGAAGCACTGATACCACTTGAAATAACATTCATTACATAAAGTAACATCTTCATCAGGAATCACCTAATAGCCATAGATTGGGTCTAATTACAACTTATTACTAGTAGTTATCGTGCACTTGAACTGGCTCGATAAGTGACTAATCCAGATAAACAGACATTGATTGGCCGCGAGCAATATCTGACCTAATCGAGACTAGCGTACGCAGTCGCACCCCTCATGATATCAGATGACTAAGCCATTGCCTGCCTCACCAGGTTCAAGAGAACAATAACCAGTCCATAGACATCAAAAGTCGGTAATATCTTCTTTATGCTTTGGAAAAGGTCATATACATCTATCAAGATGGCATCGCAACGTGTAAGGCTCTTCCCTCAAGCCTTATCCAATACACATTACACCCTTCCCCGTGGTCGCTACGTCATCTATAAGAGACGAACTGACACAACTACCCCAGATCGCATTTAAAGTATCTGGCACGGTCCAAGGCAAGTTCACGTCAATGCTCCTAAGCAGCATATGTGAAACTATTTTTTGAGTAGCAGATGAGTCTAACACATAACCTGGCAGGAGTGGGATTCCGGTAACTACACCCTGCCTTCCGCACGCTATAGATGCACTTCTCGCTAAACATGCCGCAATCTACAGGGACTTTACTCAGAAGAGAGCCACCGCATATGATGTAAAAGGCTGGGTGAAGAACACACATTGTGGAAGGGTGTGTGCTGTCCCTTTTTAATTCATGACTGATACTTTTCCCTCTCTGTCCATGAATCCCCTTTCATGTTGATGTCGGGTAAGTTACTTATATTAAAACCATGCAGGTAGAAGGAGAAGCCCAAGGAACCGAAGAGTCTCTACAGAAGTTCCTGAAAGACATCAACAATGGACCCCGCCATGCACATGTCGTCAAGCTAGAGAAGAAGGAAATTGCACCCAAAGATGGCGAGGTAGAATTCGGCTTCATGAAGACTTCCGAGTCGGGGTATGAGGCTATGCAGTGATATAATATCTTTCCAAATACATCTCTTTCTGTTTCATAGTGTATCGCTTTAAAACAAATTCTTGTTTGTCCTTCTGACACGAACTTTTAATAGTAGACGATGATGTATTATTGATCCTAGCCCTTCCGACAACCCTCGTATTGAAAAGTCATCTGAAAGCCAAGCCAACATCTTCATATTCGATGACAACATCAAACGGAAAATACAGGAGCAACAACAAATAGTCTTTTTCTAATATGTTCACCGGCCCCTGTCTGACGTCGGGGGCCAGGAATGAATGGAGCGAGCAGACCCCGGCGCAATCCCGAACTATCTTCGGCATGCCTTGACTCAAACGGCGTTCCGGGATCTCCCGGTAAGGCGACCTGCCATAGAACACGGGGGGTCACAATTTGGGTACGTTTGGATGTAAATTACTATTCATTGTAAAGATCATATTCAACTTATATCCTGAATACCAAGCTCTATCACAATGTGTATACACTGTTATCCAAAGCAGTACAGCGAAAAGAGAGGTTTTCAAGCATAATTTCTCAGAACAGTCAATCTAGTATCCCCATTCAAATACCACCAATCAACCACAACAACAACCACAACCCATACCATACACCACCCCCGAGTCGCCGATTAAAAATCGCCCACCCCGAGCAAGATATTAACTAAGAAGTAAATCACGGAATTCGCGTTCAACAGACGCCGAGCATACAAAATGCCGAAAGAACCACGTAAAACAAGGGGACCCCGGGTCACGGGGACCAGCCCAGATTACAAGGAGTTCCCCGTAATCAAATAACAGCAGCGAACTTACGCCGAATTACCTTCCCATTCATTTTCAGGTAGAGAGATAATGGGAAGGATTTCAAATTTGCTTCCACTTCGAGAGTAGACAGAACCCACCAACTACCCATATACTCATAATTAAGATACAACTTTCAGGTATGGTCATCGAGCATCCCTATCGAAAGGCAATTCATACATCCCGTACCTTCTATGTAAGTTCTAGGCTGCACTGGATGACCCACCGGGATATGCAGGCGCTTGGAAGCTTAACTTGGTTACGAATGTCAGTTCAATGCGAGGGGAGTCGGCCTAATTAGTGATTGTAACCGCTAGTAATAGTTGCTGAGGTAGGCTATTGGGACCTGGGATTTCAATGGTTCTCGATAGATGATCTGCGGTGAACATACTTGGATTGGGGGAATTCGATGCCGAGCCTGTAGTATTTGGGCTATTGTTAACGCTAGTTTACGTCTGTGTATCCCTTTGGTGGTGATCAAGGCAGGCAAGCAGGCTAGGCAGGACGGTTGCACTGTAAGGATGGGAAAAGAAGTTTCGAAGTAGATACATAGGCCTTATTTCTGGTAACTGTGGTCATATTCCTGAATTAAGGTCTTACAACCATTTTGTACCCTATACCATAATCTAGCTAGTACTACCATGCAAAACTGATTATATCCAGAAAGAAAGATCCAGGCTTACCTGTAATTCAACAGCGATAGCGATAAACATAGAATGTCATTAAGGTCACCCCCAAATTACCGTCCCTGACGTGGCGACAACAGCGGCAACCTTGTAACTAATCCAGACCTTGTAAAAAGACAAACCCCCTAGTCAAAATCGACACCCATTATCCATGGCTACGAAATTGCTTGGAAATCTCTACTGCAGACGTGGCTGAGCAAATTTGAGTTGTTAATGCTAAGATAACTAATCTCAGGGTCGAAAGCCTCCACTGGGTCCTGAAGTCTTGGTATAGTAGATGGATCCGGGTTTTCTCGATCCGCGTGACTTTTTCTCTCACTCCTGCCGTTTTGTATGTATGGTTCCGGGCGCCAGTGCCACTCCCGGCTTTTGCCGACCCTTTCTGCCCTGTAGAGTCATACCCTGGATACGAGACAATGAATGGATGTTGAAAATTTTGCTGGGGCTGAGAGTATAAATAGGGATGGGGGGGTTAGAGGGAGTTGTACATGTAATCAGTCTGATACAATCGATCAAGCAATAAGTGAACACCTTACTGGGTTTCGAATTGACAATAACTCATTATCGTCTACTTTTACGACTATATCATATCGACTGCTTTCATACCCAATGAACTCGTTAACAGCAACGGCGCCCATTCGGGCTGCCTTTCCAAAGTCATATATGCATATCGCTACTCGAAATTACTCCAGTGTCATTGCTATGAGCGGTCTGCGCTGTACCGGGTCGTTGGTGGCAAACAGACATCAGACAGCTGGAAAGCGATTCATATCAACCACGCCAAAGTCGCAGATCAAGGAATTCTTTCCTCCCCCGACTGCTCCTCATGTGAAGGAGGTGGAGACAGCTTGGGTCCATCCTGTGTAAGTCCATTTCGCGCGTGCATGATGGTGAGTGGAGCTGACAATACCAGCTATACGGAAGAACAGATGAAACAAGTCGCAATCGCGCACCGAGACGCAAAGAACTGGGCCGACTGGGTTGCGCTGGGAACGGTGCGGATGCTGAGATGGGGCATGGATCTTGTGACTGGATATCGGCATCCTCCCCCAGGCAGGGAACACGAGGCCAGGTTCAAAATGACAGAGCAGAAGTGGCTTACGCGCTTTATCTTCCTGGAAAGTGTGGCTGGCGTACCAGGCATGGTCGGAGGCATGCTGAGACATTTGAGAAGTTTGCGGCGCATGAAGAGAGATAATGGATGGTATGCTACATCCCGCGATTGTCAAAGATGACAGACACTGACGACGCCTAGGATTGAAACACTGCTGGAGGAAGCATACAACGAGCGTATGCATTTGCTGACCTTCCTCAAGCTCGCAGAGCCCGGATGGTTCATGCGCCTGATGGTTCTTGGAGCACAGGGAGTTTTCTTCAACGGATTTTTCCTGTCTTACCTCATGTCGCCACGCATCTGCCATCGGTTCGTCGGATACCTCGAGGAGGAAGCGGTGATCACATATACTCGCGCAATCAAGGAGATTGAAGCTGGAAGTCTTCCCGCATGGGAGAAGACGGAGGCCCCCGAGATCGCCGTGCAATACTGGAAAATGCCAGAGGGTCAGCGCAGCATGAAGGATCTCTTGTTGTATGTTCGGGCAGATGAAGCCAAACACCGGGAGGTGAACCATACACTGGGAAATCTAAACCAGGCGATCGACCCCAACCCATATGCCGCCAAGTACAAGGATCCGACAAAGGCGCATCCGAACAAGGGGATTGCAGACCTGAAACCCACTGGATGGGAGCGGGAGGAGGTGATCTGAGTTCACCTGCCAGATATTTGGTTTCTTTCACAGACAACCGGCTGGACCGGGTCTACAATGCGGCTTGAGCGTCAGCATATTATTGTCAGTGCAACATCGGGCTTCTCGACCTGGTGTTGATGTTTCAAAAATCTTAGATTAGCACATTCAATTCAGCGAATAGATCTCCTCTCAATGATGACGACAATGGATGTTATGAACATGGATCACGTTTCAAGTTTCCGCTCCGAGATGATCAGGAGTGATATATCCCACCAGTAGTGATGGCAGCGGGTGTTCCTGAGCGCAAAGATGGATGGAAAACCGTGCCGAAGTTTGGATGCGGGGCTTCCAGGCACCGGGGAGACGCTAAGCCCAGGCAGGACAAGGGCCGCCCGGCCGGATGACTTTCTTGGGACGCTTTGCATGATTCCCTCTTAGCACTTCCCAAAAGGAGGTGGATATCTGGATGTTCGGATTTATGAACCTGACTCGAGTGATGAGGCGAACAGCCCTACCTCAGGGGGAGAGCTGAATGAAGCAGAGCGCAAAGAACAAAAAAAAGAAAGCAATCGGTACTACTATAAATAACAGTGCAGGACTACTTATCTAGAAAGTACCACGACAACTCCCGGTGGCCGACGAGTTGGCACCGCGGCCATCGACCCGCTTCCCCTTTTAGTGGTAAAAATCCCCCTTTCGAGTCACGCCCAAATTAAATTCGTCGGCCGATCGATCACCATCACCAGTCACTCATCCGAGGCCCTATCCCTATTTTTAAATCACGTCAAAACGGTTCCTGTTCCCCCCCGACGACCACCTGTCCTTTCCTGCTTTAGTGTGAGGCATATCCCATCTCTCGCCCAAACCGGATCTGTGCCCTCCAACGCCATACCGTTGAGATCTATCGTCTGCGAAAGTGCCAACCCTTCGAACATCAAACGCATCGTCCAAAGCTTAGCATACGCCCAATATGGATGAATCTGTCGAGCCCGAATTCATGGCCCCTGTCCGAGCCTCGTCGCCCTCCCCCTCCATCCCAGCGACGCCGGCTATCTCCTCCTGTCCCTCACCAGATCGTACCTTTTCGACCATCTCCTCTCTGTCGACTTCTTCCGCCACTTCCGCCGATGCCAGGTCTTCCGTCTCCATCTCATCCAAGCGACGAGGATACATTCGCCCTCAGGGGGTCGAGTTTGCCGAGTCCGCCAAAAACCGGGAGAGTGTCATGAGCCTGGGTAGCATCGCTCATCTGCAATACTACTTTGCACGAACCGGTCTACTGGACGGCAAAGGTGCCCAGGCTAGGGAATTTAAAAAGAAAAAGAAGCCGGAGGATATGCCGCGACTGCTCTTGACCCCCAACGCTCGGTTTATCGATGACTTGACTCTCAGTCCGACCAGTGCCAGTCCCACCGATGACGAAAGTGAAAGCATAGATCCTAGGGAGGAGGTGTATGACGAGGATGTTGAAGTCATGCTTCCTCCCACGGTCAGTACCTACAGCATCAAAACGCATCACATCCCGCCCCCACCTAAACTCAAGGCTCTGCGGAAGGATCTGCGGGACGCATTGGAGAAAGCAGAACACAGTATCGAGTCGATCGATGCTCAAAAGGAACCGCCGGCGGAGATGATTCCCCCGCGAATTAGTCTTTCGAGTGACGATATGCCCGACGCTGCGGAAGACCCCTCGCGTCAGGCGCCTGCAGAAGCAACCCCGCAGACCTGGCAAGAGATCCAGGGCATGCGGGTCCTAGACACTGTCACTTTTGCGATCCGAGCCGCTAAGATCTACTATACTGCGCATGAGCGGCCCGATCGACTGGCGAAGATCAAAAGCGAGCGTGAAATACGACAAGAGCTGTTCAATGTCCTGGAGGTCCTGAAGCGGTGGGCCTCCCGAAACTTTGCAGACGGCCTTCGCGAGGATGAACGGTCTGGCATTGTTGGATGGATGGCCAACGTGCGCGACATGCTGGCCCGGGAAGCTCAATTGGAGTCATTTGAAGCCAAAGAGCGAGCCGCCTGGATCTGGACCGAGGGTGAATGGATCGGTAAGGAGCGTGAGCGCGAGACGTTGTTCCTGCGTAGTCTGATCGGCTCCGACGCGCAGCTGCCGACATGGACTGCGCCGGAGGATGGCTCACCGCCACCCGCCATGCTGGAACGGCTGCGGGATGGACGCGACCTGGTGCGCGCCCATAATTTTGCCGTCAAGAACTCGAAGCGGCCGTTCCTCGATATCAAAACTTACCATCAGGATGTGGCCAAGCCCTACCGGCGGGCCGAAAACCTTCGTTTCTGGGTGAAGGCTGCGGAGCTGCGGTGGGAGACGAAGTTGGAGATGGATGTGATGGGGATTGTGCATGGCAACAGTGAAGAGGCCTGGAAACAGTTCGACCAGGCTCTTCTGGCCTGGTGTAAAGTGGTGCGTGAGGAGCTCGTCCGAGACTGGCGCGAGAGGCGAGCTTCAGCAGCGAGCCTTCCACCTGACGATCTGGTGGTACGGCCTATGTGAGGGGGAACTTGGGGAAAAGAAAGGGTCTACATGAGTAACTAACAACTTCGCTGGAGAGGGGGGAAAGGAGTGGGTTGTAATGATTGGGACTGGTTGGAACTGATTGGGACCACGTATGGCGACTGGTTATTGCGTTTGTTTGCTGTCTACTCCGACGCCCATTGATACCCCTTACTTGTCGGAGTGCAGTCGGATTTGAATATTTTTTGGTGTCACTCCTCATTTCTTCTGCTGTCCTCCCAGCCACGGTCAAGCTGGGAGAAGCGTATAAATTCAACTTTTGGTCATCTACAGTCCATGGGACTGTTGTGTTCGGTGCAGAGCACACCTTTCTGTTTCTTTTTTTCTTTTTCCTTTCTTATCTTGTCCGATCATTTTACTTAATCTATCCTGCACGGGGTCGCGGGAGGGATCCATGGATGGAAGTGTACATAGGAATGGCTGGCTGGTAGCGAGAATGCCATGTTTCGAGACGAGAACCATACAAACAAAGTAATCCAACCAACCGAACGCCACTCAGACGGGAGGAAGAAAGATCCAAGGAGATGGAAGACAGGGAAAAGTACCCAAGAAACCGGACTGGTGTAACGGTCAGGCCAAAGTCAATTTGGTTATTTACCATTCCCTCGAGGATAGAGTTTACTGACGATTGAAAGGGAGACTTGAGGGGATTATCCCCCGGTTATTTCTTACTATTTCCTCCCCCCAAACGGGTGATCGGCTGCCCGCCTGAGAGCCCGAAAGGGACAGGTTGCCGCTTATCCTTCATTCCAACTGGCTTGACCTCCTTCTTCTCTCTCTCTCTCTCTCTCTCTCTCCCTCCCTCTTCTTTCCCTTGCTATGTCCGCCCCTCTGCTGCCCAATCGTCTATCATGTAGTCAGTCATTCTTGTCAAAAAGCAGTTCTTCTTACCTTGGTGTTGGAGAAAAAAAAAAAAGACAAAGAAGCAAAGCAAAGCAAAGAAAGACAAGCAAAGAGCACAGACGGTGTAGCCCGACCGCCTACACATTCACAGCCCGATTACTCCATTCTTATTATCTGACAGGCTGAAACCGGATAGGGGCAGCAGTAGACGGACAGGGAACGGAAGGCAAACTACACTACTTTCTACTTACTACCCAAGCACATACTAGCTGACATAGCCCGGCCGCAGCGTTGGCGCATCCTCAGCCCATCAACCACATTCCTCTACCCACCGTCGTTCTTCACTAAACACACTAGTTCCTGGCATCCTACAGGCCAGCGCCCATCCCCCTCGTGGATCGCATCCATGCGTGCCATGTCCACCGCGTCAACGGCTACCACTGCGACCACCCACCCCCCGGATGCCGGGGCCAACCTGTCCACGTCGCAGTTCTTCTCCTCCCCTCCTCCTCCTCCTCCACCCGCCCTGTCTATCTCCCATGTCGACCAGTCAATACCGCGACGAATCAAGTCCAAGTCGTCCCTTCGAAGCCTCCGCAGCTTGGGCAGTAGCAGTGAACCCGACGATAACCAACAACACCACCAACAACACGACCTCGGTTTCGACAAGACTCTTGTCCGCCCGTCAATTCTCCGTCGCTTGTCCCCCGGCCTGGCTGCCCGCGTCAAGTTACTAGACGGTAGTAACAAACACAACAGCCCCTCTCGCAACCCCGGTGCCGTCGGTCGGATCCCCGAGGAACAAATCAAAGAACTCGACAAGTCGCATCAGGATTTATCCAAATCCATTAAGATCGAAAGGAAGGGTCGCTCATGGAATGCTCTACCTCGGCTACACAAGGATAAGAAATCTCACGGAAGTGATTCCAACCACTTAGAGGTCCCCGAACCGCAGCTACCGGAAGAAACCTCAGAGGAGTTGGAGGAGTTACCCACGCCCGACTCGGATCGTCCCCTGGATCTGCCTCTGGATCAAGGGCTGGAAGAAGAGGTCCCGCTGTCGGAAGAGGCCGAAGAGCCTGAAGAGGCTGTGAAGGTTGAGGCTGTTGGGGAAGACGTTATCGTGGAAGACCCTATCGAAGAAGACGCTGTTGCAGAGCAAGGCGTTACAGAAGAACTTCTGGAAGAAGGTGCAGAAGACGTTGCTGACGAGGCCGTTGAGATAGAGGCTACTCTGGAAGAGCCCCAAACCGACATGTCTGTCGTTCAGCATGCTCCGGCGCCATTAGAGCATAGGCCAGCGCCCCTTCCTGACGTTCCCGAGCAGACAGACTTTGAGAAGTACATACAGAGCACCAATGAGGACGACTCGAACCCACCCCCGCCGCCGCCAAAAGACTCTCCGCGCCCACGATCGACCACTTCCCTAAGCTCACAATCCTACTTCAACCCCCAGGGGTTGCAGCGCACGGAGTCCATCTACTCATTTTCTCGCGCCTCGTTTAGCAACCAACTCTCCCAGCTCACGTCCATTCCCCTTCCGCAACCGTCGTCCCTCGAGGCTAGTATCTCATCCATTGCAACCGCCCCTGCGGCGGTTCGGGCGCTCACCGGAGCGGCAGAGCAAATTCAAATATGGGTCAAGAAGGCCTCGGATGTGCTAGGGGGGTTGGATGCAGAGGATGACGTGGAGTGGGCAGCTGCGGCCGGACGAGAAGGTCTGGAGGGGGTGGACAAGGCGATCATCCGGTTCGAGAGCCTGATCAACGTCTACGTCAGGGCGATCGAGGAAGTGCAGCTGCGCGAGGATATTGGCGACGTGAGTACCGATAGCCTCCAGACGATCGTCGTGCAGATGGACACGATCATACAAAGCTGGGCCAACATCAAGAATCGCCTCCGGGGAGTCAAAGGACAGGTTGAGCTGGCAATGGAGTGGGAAGAGCTGTGGGGGAACGTCTTGGGCGATGTGACGGTGGAGGTAGAGAGTCTCACCGGGCTGATCTTCGAGATGGAAGAAAAACGGCACTGGACGCTGGCAGGCGAGCAGGACTCTAGCGCCTCTGGGCTCGACATCAATGAGCTGGAGACCATCGTGGAAGAGACCCCATCCCAGGCGCAACTGCTGTCCAGCAAACGACTCAGTATAGATCCCATCCTTACCGGGCCACCGACGATGGACATGCCGGTTATTCAGACGCCACATGACGACACGAATCACTCGAACCTCATCGCGCTGTTTGCACGAATACAACCGCTGCGAGCGTCTCTTGATTTCTTGCCGATGAGAATGTCCATGTTCCAGGCGCGGGCTGAGAGGATCTTTCCCAGCGCTTGTGAGGAGCTCGAGGAGCGGCGGGGCCATCTTGAACAGAGCTTTCAAAAGCTGGAGCAGGATGCAGATGCGCTGCAGAAAGAGCTCAACGAAGACCGGTGGATCCTCGTCTTCCGTAACGCGGGTGGACAGGCGCAGAAAATGTTCGACTCGGTGGAACGCAGCATCGCCAAACTGCAGGAGGCCATCGAGACATGCGCCCATCTGCACGATGCAACGTTGTTTACGAAACGCATTGAAAGTTACGAGGCCAAGAAGCAGCACTATGTGGCAGCGATTGAGCGGGTAGTGTCGATTATTCGCAAGGGTGTCGATGACCGACTGACGGTGAACGGAGAGATTCTGCGACTGCTGTCGGACATGACGTCGAGAATCGACGCCTTGAAGGCGAGTGTCCGGGTGATGGATGAGTGGCTGGAGGACATTAACTTTGTCCGATCACAGCATCTCCGGGACTCAATCTCGAGTATCATGACGATGGACAGTCCTCTGACCAGCAGTGTCGCCGATACTCCAGGAAGTTCTCCGGCATCGTCAGTGGTGATGACGCCCGCCAACCCCCTCAAGGGCTCTGCGACGCCTATGGGAACGTCTAGTCGACGTGGCAGCTCGGTCAGCTCAGCAGCGCGGACGACAATGTCCAAGATGCGACGGTACTCGGGCATCCCGCAGGCGACGGCTGCGCTGACCAGCAAGAAGTCGTCTCTCCCCAAGCCTTCGCTCACTGCGCCGTCACCGAGTCGGATGGGCGCCGCCACACCCACCCCTGCTGCGCGTAAGCCTGTCAAGCCGGCGCCGTCACCCATTCCCAATCGTCCGCGGTGGACCAACAGCACCAACACGAACGACCTATATGTCGGCCACGTGTACAAACCCAATCCTACTCCCCGCAAGCCCTCTGCTTCTGGCCGCACATCGCGGCCCTCGTCGACTATACCCATGGGACCGTTCCGGCGCGACATGTCCGTCTCTCCGGCACCGATGACGGCGCGCTCTATGAGTCGTGTTTCCAGCCGCCTGACGAATCGCAGCCCAGAGCGCATGGGCTCTCCTACACCTAATCGATCTATCCTCGACCCTCCTCCTTACAGCAAGCTCCGGCGGCCCGACGGCATGTCGAACGCGCCGCGCAGCCGACAGAGCTTTGCGGGGCTGTCGTTCAGCCGCAGTGTGTCGCATGACCACGAGCGAAACATTGCCAGTCCGACGAAGACGCCGCGGCCGGGCACCGCGCTGGGGCATTCCGCGAACCGGCGGATCAGCTTGATCCCATTGCCGAAGAACAACCCGACGCCTCGCAGCAAGCTCGGAGAGCGGCCGCCATGGCGGTAATCGGGAAGATACCATACTATGTGACATAGCATTTCCGGGGGTCTTTGATTTCTAGCATTTCCGTTGTTCGATCTCGCATTAACTTCACACACACTCATGTACTATGCATATTGGCATTGCGGTTCGGGAGCCAGTGGTGTCATATACCAGATTGCTTGAAGCCGGTTGTTAGATTGATTCCCCACTCGCATTGATTTAGGAGTATTTCATTGATTGAAGGGAGCGACTTCATGTATTGGGGTATGTTTTAATTGCAATACACTTTATATTATATATGTATATTATTTTATTTTCGTTTCGATTATACCAAGGATTTCCCAATAATAAGCGCATCGACAAGATCAGGACTATTCGCCAGACGCGCAGCACCCGGCACACGACCAATAACCTGGAATCCCAGATTCTCCCAGATCTTGACCGAAGCAACATTATTTTCAAAGACGAGGTTAAACACGGAGTATTTGTATCCCTACCCAGAATTAGCACCACCGAACCATCCATCCCCAAACCACCTAAAAATTAAAGAAATAAAGAAAAAAACATACCAACTTCGGCGCCACCTCCAGATAAACCTCACCCATAACCCTCCCAACACCACGATTCCTGGCCGCGGGAGTCGTAAAGAACCCGGCATTACAAACATGCGAGCAGCGTCCTATCCCAATACCAGTTAGCATACATACATACATATTATCCTATCCCCAAATCCACATATATCATATCAATCAAATAAATAACAAGTGTGAGAGAATGAGAGAGAAATAAATACCCGGATAATTCGGCTTCACATAAAACGTCCCCAGACAAACCCTCTCCCAATCCCTCCCGTCCCTCAACCCATCCCCTTCGCCGTCATCGACAACAGCAACCACTGCAAACGTCCCAAACCAATACGTCCGGTATAGGTCATACTCGAGGGGAGATTCCATGGGATAGGTACATCCTTTGAGGATCTCTTCGGAGAATTCCCTGTGTAGGTAGTGGAGGAGAGAGGAGGGGAGGGAGTCGGGTCCCGTGGTTATGGGGTAAAGAGTGATGCGGGTGTTGTCGCGGAGGGTGCGGGAGATGGGGGGGAGGGATGATGGGTTGGGGGTTGGTGGGGGGATGTGGGTGGTGGGGTCTTCGAGGAGGGAGGGCATTTTGTTGGTTCTTTTCTTTTGTTGGAATATGGGAGAGGTGGTGGTGTATTGTATAAGGGTGTGTGGTGAGATGAGGTGGAAGGGAAGAAGGGAGTTGGAGTGGGAGTGGGAGTGGGATGGTGAGGGGATCAGTTGGGGTTATATGTATGGGTTTGATGTGGGGAATGGAGATAGATGTCGATGGTAGGGCGTGCATAAGATTTTTTAGTATGAAATTGGAATGGGATGGATTGATTGATTGAGTGATTCCTTCTTTTCAGGTACGGTGGGGCAGTGGGATGGGGGGTTTGTACCATATATTGCCATGGATTGAGGGTTTGTGTGGCGAGTGGTATGTACTATGTAGTATAGAATAGATTGTTGATTGTCATTGGGAATGGCTATCAATTGATGTCTTTTTTACTATATTCTGGTGTTAGAATCAAGTAAGTAATGGGATTAATGTGACATGCTGCATGCATGTCAATTTGGCTTATCGGTCCCGATCTCGGATATCGGATAGTATTTCGGGTGGTTTCCGGTTGTTCGGTAGATTGTATAATCTCTTATAGCAGCTTTTTTATTGCACCTTTTTTTGGTAGGTCGAGGACCATTTGATATGGGTTATGTGCTAGTTTTGAGTATATTTGACGTTCTATAGTTGGTTTTATCTGTGATGTCCATAGTTGCAGTTACTATCCTATTAGTTCATATCAATTTCTACTATATAAAGACCTGATATTCATCTGGCAGTTGTACTCTACAACCATCTCATTAACCTCTATATACATAATCTACACATTCAACCAACTTATACCATATCATACAATCCGGGTATCCCATCTTTATCACTCCCCCATACTTTCTAGACCTCCCCTGGAATAACCTCATCAATCATTGCTTCTCCCCCTCCCCCTCTCCCTCCCCATCCTTATTCTGAATCGCCTGCATAAGCTCATACAACTGCCCGATCTGCTGATCTATCTCCCAGTTAGCACACACCACCCTACCCCAAACCACACCAGCTGATAGGCAGTAACTCCAACTGAAAGAAAGTATTAACTCACCACTCATCTTATCCAATTTCCCCTTATCCAACTTCTCCCCAATCCACGCATCTCCCTCCAATTTCTGCGCATATAATTGCCATTCCGTAAGGAAACCAATCTACCACCACATCACCATATCATTAGCAATCCACACACTCAACATGCGTCATAGCAAGAGGGGATGGGATGTACAATATGCAACGGATTATCCACATTCCGATGAGCCCGGAATTCACTCTTCACATATCCATCGCCCAGGATCCGCATCTCGGGGTCAAGTTTCTTGCGGTGCACGCGGAGAATGCGACGGTAGAGCTGCAGCGGCGGGAGCAGGGCCAAGGTCTCGGAGAGGCTGGATTTGGAGCCGAAGGTGGACGGCGTGGCGAGACGGCGGGCGGCCGTGGGGGTGAAGCGGAGGAATTGGGACATGCTGGTCTTTTTTTTTTTCTTCAAATTCCTGGTCTGTTAGGTGGGAGGTGAATTGGCAATTGGCAAGTTTGAAGACGAAGTCGGGGAATGATGGATGATGAAATGCGATTACTGCCGCGGATCCCTCCAAGGCGGAGAACCAAAGCAACCTGCACTCCGTTTTTGGGAGGCTATGATTGGTTCGTTCATCGGAGTTTCAATCGATCCAATATTCTTTTCAACTACCCATTATCATCCCACTATATACCAGTTCCCTTTATTTTCCCAATCCACTAAGAAAGAAACAGCAATAAGAAAAAGTGAGAAAAGGGATAAACAATGCTCCCCACCCCCTGCACCTCCCACGTCTCCTTCGACACCATCTACGAACCCTCCGAAGACTCCTACCTCTTCCTGGACACCCTCTCCTCATCCAGCGAATCCGCCTGGCTCACGAACCACTTCTCCCCATCAACATCCTCGCCCTCCCCGCTCCTCCTCGAAGTCGGTACCGGCTCCGGCGTCGTCCTCGCCTTCCTCACCGCAAACTCCCACCACATTCTCGGCCGCACTGATGTCCTTGCCCTCGGCACGGACGTCAATCGCAATGCATGTCTCGCGACGAGACAGACGGTTTTGAAGGCGATTGAGGAGCAGCAGCAGCAGCAGCAGCAGCAACAATCCCAGAACACCCAGTCCACCTCTACAGAAGAATCTAAAACCTCTCAAATCAAATCCCTCATCTCCTCAACACTTACCTCCGACCTCGCCTCGCCGATTCGTCCTCACTCGATCGATATCCTGCTGTTTAATCCGCCGTATGTGCCCACGCCGGAATTGCCGCGGTTACCTAGTAAGGAGGATAATGATGAAGGAAATAAGGAAGGGGGCATGTCGAGGAGTGAAAAGTTCGAGAGGGAGTCGTATTTTCTCTCGTTGACGTATGCGGGGGGTAAAGATGGGATGGAGATTACGGAGAGGTTGTTGGCGGATATTCCGAGGGTGTTGAGTGAGAGGGGCGTGGCGTATGTGTTGCTTTGTGCGCAGAATCGGCCGAGGGAGGTGGTGGAGAGGATTGTGGGATGGGATGGGGATTTGGAGGGAGGGAAGTGGTGTGCTGAGTTGGTTGGGAGTAGTGGGGTGCAGGCGGGGTGGGAGAAGTTGGTTATTATGAGGGTTTGGAGGGAGTTCTCTTCTTCCTCTTCTTCTTCTTAGGGGTTAGGTTGCGTATAGGTGGGGGTTATATACTACTGGGAAAATAGATGATAGACTAATGAGTGATGATGAGATGATAGACGAGGGTATGATTGATTTCTGACAACACTTCATACATACCATGAAGTGTGTATATTTCTGTTCTTCTTCGTGTGTGTGTTTGTGTCGCGGCCACTGATTAGATAGATATACAGTAAACTACTACTCATCTCTTCTCGATGTCGAGTAGATTCGATTCGACTCGACTCGGTCATTCATCGACACGACCGACCTGCCTTGCAGTTTCGTCTCGAGTCTAATGAAATAAATTAGACCCGACAATCCACCGCGCAACCCAACCCAACCCAGCAGACCTCGTAAATCACCGCCGCTTTTCTCACCCATTTTCCTGGTCCAGCTTATCCCCTCACACCCAGAATCAGACCAGACCAGTATCATGTCGAACCCATTCAGCGCAAATCAATCACCCAGCCATAGGATAGACAAGAGATAAAAAAGAGTCACAAAAAGAAAACAAAAGAAACAGAAAAAAAACTCCGATCCTCAAGTAGTAGTTGTAGTAAAAATGAAATCGCAATGTCTAATACCAATCCCATCCAGCTTAGAATCCACGACCACGGCCACGGCCACGACCGCGCCCTCTACCACGAGGACCACCACGACCACCACGGCCTCCGCGGTCGGCTTCCTTGCGCGCCTTGTTCTTGGGCTTGGGCGTGTCGTCGATCAGCAACGTGTCGAGGGGCAGACTATCGGGCAGGATGTAGTAGCGGATCGTGGAGCCACGGATGTTGATGGTGTCGAGGGAAATAGGGTCGCGGCCTTTGGGGGTCATTTTGACCGTGCGGAGGGAGGTGTTCATCTGGGGGGAGACGGAGGTGATGGTGCCGTGGAGGATGGTGCCTATCATGGTCAGATTGATGGTTCACATGTATTGGAGGGATTGATCTTCAAGCGCTGAAGGGATGGAGGGTTCAACTCACCATTCTTCAGCTCAATCGTCACCGTCTCGTTGGCGCACTTCATCAGAAACCTGTGCAGAGGATTGGAATTAGTCGCTGTGCAATCTTCGCGGGCACGAGCTGCGTCGGGCGCTCTGGAGCTGCTGGCTTACCGGACGAGCTTCATGGTTGTGAATTTACGCGCAAAGGCACTCAATCAGGGTATAGAAATGGGGAAAATAGGTTGGGCGAGTCGAATACTAGCCGGCTTCGTCAGGGTCGAGTTGAGGTCGCTTGTCGACATCGCGGCTCTCAGAGGCTGAGCTTGGTTGACCGCCCGGGCACGTGACCGTCTACGAATTACAAGGCAGGATGGTTATGTCGTCCCAGTATGCTTAATTGCACAAGACTAGCCAATATCGCTAACATGCCTAGATTAGCTAACAATGTTCCAACCGAAATCGCTTCATGGTATCTTGTAGAAAGTCCGAACATGTCACCAACGCCCGCCAAGGAACCGGAAGTTACAAAACGCCATGTCGCGCCTTGAAGATGGCGATCTTGTCATCATAGAACAAGATCTCTCGCAGCCGATACGATACTCGAGACTTGTTGTAATCCATTTCAGAACCCTCCCCATCTGACGAAATCCTGTCGTCTGACGACAGGTCAGAGTGCGAGTCCATCGCGCTGACCCCGCCGTCGTCAGATTCATCCTCGTTTGTGTCTGATCCTGCCCACTCCTCGCCCCCAGGCACGAACCCCTCGCTATGGCTGTCGTCTGTGTCATAGAACTCTCCCGCATCGCCTTCTTTTGCCTCCAAGATCTCGTAACATTTATTTTGTATGCCTACATAGGTGATGCCCACCTCCGGACGGATAGTCACAATATCCAGGATCATCATCGCCAGTTCTTTCGGGTCTCGGTGAGCCTGCCGAGCGATATGTGGGATATGGAGCGCGCGAAGCTGAGGCATATACGGTAGCCTTTGAAGGAAATAGTGCTGCTGACGTTAGTACAAGAAATAAGGAGGTCGCTTGGTACTTACCCAGTCCTTTGAGTGCAGAGCTATAGAGAGCTCCCGCAGCCGTGGCATACGTCCGCTGCTGAGAAATGTGAGCATCTGGCGAGTGAACATCCACTTGTACCACCGCACACTGGGCATTTCGCTTCCCCCCGGTGCCCGCTGGGTGCTATCGACCAATATCTTTTGCAGGCTGAGATGATGGGTCTTAATAGCGTTCTTGTAGATGGCATCGATATGGACGATCGAGTCATACATCGGTGCCTCATGTAGGAATAGGGTTTGCAGCGTGTTGGGCGCGAGTGTATCCTTGATAAACAGCAGCAGATATGGCGACACAGCATCCGTGTGGATATGCCTGAGGTTCAAGCGATACTCAGAGG